TTTACCTGCGGGTGTTTTTTGGAGTTTTTCGGATTTATCCGGAAACACAGGGCCCTTGTAATAACCTCCAGCGTTCAAGGTGACATACCAATCTCTGAGCGGGTCGTGTATTCGTGACGTGCACCGACGTTACGTCAAGCGGCCATCGCGGTAGCCTTGTTGCTTCGCATACATTTCGCCCGGGAAGAAAGAGTAGGAATGACCACCAGCATGTTGTGATGACGTCACGTGAAGGCAAGGCCTACGCATGACGTTGTCGTTAGTGGATCCTCGATCCGCCCCAAGCGGCAAACACGGTGCAGCTCGGCGAGACACGTCGGAAAGCGAAAGACGCGTGTGTTGCGGCGTCGCCTTGTACAGCGTCGCACTCGCGAGAGTACGCGTCGACGCCACGATGGACGCGTCTCAAACTGTGTCCCTGGGAACGCAGGGATTCCCCAGAGTGCACTTGTTATGGGTTCCTCGAGTTCCCACATCTTCTCGACCGTCCCTGTTTCTGAGCAAAGCGTTTTCTCAGTTCGTGCACTGTTTTAGCAGATCGCGAAGCCACCCACCGACGCGATGGGTCCGATGGGACCAATCAAAGAGCGTTAAAAGAGTACCAACGTGGTGTTTGTCCTGTTTTTATACGTGGTCTATAGACCGACACGCTGTTTACAAACAAGCCGTCGTTTGCCCACACCAGGTGTGGGCACTGCGCGTGCGCAGAAACCGAATTCACGTGAAGATAATCGTCTGCGCATGCGCATTGCCGTCGACAGCGCCACCGCAGCTGCGTGACGTCACGGCCGCGTGTTGGTCTATATCTCGCCTGACCGATCATGTATACAAAGAAGGCCCGGTGACTTGCGCTTTTGACGCTGTTTTGCTGGTCTCGTCCTTGCCACGGGTATAATCCTCGCACGTTGGATTGGGGAGAAGAATAGACGCCTTTCGAAAGTCACGTGCCGATTGATAACAAATGCGATCCACTGCACAATGGTGAAACTATAGAGCCACAAAACGGGCTACGCTTAGAGTGTCCGCACTCTGTTGCCTGATATTGTTGCGGGTGCCGCCATGTTGGTGCTTGTGGAGATCAGACGCAACTGTCGATCGTCATGATACAAAAGTGTGACTTCCTCAGCATTAGATTCGGTGTTAAGAAGCCTCATGTAATATTGCTTTGTGCCGTCGCGAGCTGTTTCAAGATTTGGGGAAGACGGAAAAGCGTTTCCTGTGATTTCATATAATGCTTCAGATAACTGGCAACCACAATCAACAGCGACATTTGAGCGAATCGACGTTTTAGCGAATAACGGGGGCCCGTGATAAGCCCCCCTGTCCCCGCGCTGCGCTTACGCCGCTTCGAGGCAGCAGTCGGCGGCGCCTCATTCCAAAACTGTGAACCCACTAGGCCCACCCGTAAACGCCGACTATTCGCCAAAGTGTCATTCGGTGAAACGTGGGCGTAACGTCGGTCAACCAAGTGAGTGCCTCCCCTTGGACTTGTGCTCCCGCTCCACGAGGGTTCGTGAGCTAGGACGCAGTGGAACCCGAGAAGCTCGCACTTGTGTCCGCCATTGTGCAGGAATTCTACAGTTTCCGATAGAGGCCACACTTTAGAAAGAGGTCTGAGTGCATCTGAAGTACAACGCCCATTGCTGCTTGTTCAAACAACAACGGTCCATAGACCACGTCAGGGGTTACGAGCGGTCGACGCGGTAATCCACATTCTTTTCCGAAATATGTGCTGCCGCCTACCGGCCCTTTGGGTTCGAGATTGAGTGGCTAGAAAAGAACGCGTTCGCGAGGTTTGCGCGTCCCGTTTGACCACGGTATTTGGGTACATCCGTAGCATTTTCGGGATTTCTAGTCACGAATCTTCGGGATGAGCAATTCGGGTACTACGTGTTTGAGGCGGACGATTGAGTCGTCATCCCCCAAACCGTGAGAACCGCTGCACTTTCGAACAAACCCAATTGCCGCGGCACGTGTTCATTCCGCTTTCCTGACAAGATGAACACTGTTACGAAAGAACATGATAACGGACACCGCACAGACAAAAAATGTTTAATGACATAAAATCAATGGTAGTGCATTCAACTGAAACATATAGACTCACGAAGTGACGATCCACAATGATTGTTGTCGCTTCGTTCCTTCCACACGATCAGAGGTGTCTTTCTCATCTTCCTTTCGTCGATATAATTGCACGTGTCACCTCGTGGTAACATTTGAGGAGGCCGAACGGCTTGGTTTCAAACAAACCGGCCCACGCAAAACGAGAAAAAAAAAATCTATTTTATGCGTAAAGAGCTTAATAAGCTCGAGCACAACATACAAGACGGCGGATCGTAAGCAGTGATAGAGTACACGCGAGCTGGTAATGAATCGACATCTTGTTGTCTTCGTCCATTTTTTTTTTTAATTATTGTTCCCAATCTTAGGGTCTACAAGACGGCGGATCTGTTTTCACGTAATCTCGAACCCAGGGACGTCGAGCATTGCGCGCACGCGCACAACGCGTTTCAGAGAAAGAGGTCCATTGCGATCAAATATAAATACAGGCTTCAACTTTTTTTTTTAGTTTGAAGATGTTTATCGGTAAATAGGTTCGGTCTAGGTAATGTTGATCACTGTTACTAATGGCCATCACCAAATTTCTAAAAAAAAAAAAAAATATGCCTTTTTTTTTTTTTATGCACAGGGCCGAAAGTGGTAGAAACCGTCTGCTTTGCACACGACTGTGATAAATGCACCTCCTAAACTGACACTTTTGTGGAAAAGTTTCATTGCGCTCGGTCCGTTACACTCAGTCCCCGAATAAAGCTTTGAAACAGCCTGTATACATGAGGACCTTTTCTTTTCTTTCGTACATTTGGGGAGCGAGAAGTCGCGACTTGACACACGAGGATGAGCGTTGGGGAAGTGTTTCGTCCGACTGCGATGGCTCGTCTCTCGTCGGACGGGGTGGACGGCCCGGAAAACGGAGGCTGGCTGCTGCGGGGGTGGTCCACAAAGGGACGGGGACCGTATAAACAGCCGTGGCCAGACCCCGCGGGGTGCTGACAACGTCCTCTTCGGGGACCGTCTGCTTCCTCGTCTGCCGCCGTCCTCCTGCATGTGTGGGCAGGAGGGGACCAAGGGGGTGGGGGAGCGGGATGGCACAGCCCGCGGCCATTTCCCCGAAGCCTGGCCACCCAGCGGTGCTGCCAAGAGAAAGCACCCCCCCCCTTTTTTTTTTCTTTCTTTTTTTGTGCGCAGCCGTTTGTGTTGAACAGCTCAAGTCGCGGAAGGAAAGTAATAAAAGAACACTGACTTGACTCTGCGGGGACAGCGCGTATTGACCGAACGTCTTTTTTATTTGTCCTCGATGGAAAAAAAGCACGCGCGCCTAGCTCGACAGTGAGCAAATAGACCTTTTGCAATACGTGCAGCGCCCTCAGTCGGCGCCGCGAGGAATTCTGGGAACTGGCTGTATGGAACCGACGTTAGCCGATGACAGAGGCAGCTCGGTAAAGCGAGCGAGGCCAGACGCGCAACGGCGCTGCCTGTTTCTCTCTTCCTTATTCTTCTTAGTGTCAAGTGGTAGGAAGTTTCCCCGCTAAATCTAGTGGGGAAAATGATGTCGCAGGGCTTCGTGTCACGTGACCTATAAGAAATTCTGTATTTAGCGGGAAAATTGACGTCACGTGACATGATGTCACTCAAACTCAGTTTTTCCGCTAGATTCAGCGGGAAAATGGACGTCACCTTTACCTACACATACGTTCAATTTGCCCGCTAAATTTGGCGGGGAAATTGACATGTGACTGGCCTCAGCCCGTCATTCCCCATACTCTGCGGACACAGACCGACCCCATGGGGAAAGTCAATGGGATGAAAGGGAGTGGGTGGGGTCAATATGGCGGAGATGAGTGGAGACACCTGGAGGCACAGCTCGAGAAGAAATGCCTGGAGGTTACTAGCACTAGACTAAGAACGTTTCACGTAGCAACCCAATTGCATGGCACTCTGCAATATTTTGGTTTCACCGAGTTAACATCTAGACGAGAAAGTTGGGACCTAATATTCCCTTCCCTAACCCCAGGTTCCGAATACATTGCACGGAAATGTCTGAAAGATGCTCCTGGGGGACTGTACCATACATGGCTTCCACTGACATCACGTCAAAGGTCATTGTGGTGGCCTTTCTGCTCAAAGCTATGAGTGCGTACCTTCTGTAGCATTCATATCGCACGACCGGATTTTTTTGTTTGTTTTTTGGCAAGGACGAATAGAAAGGACCGCCAGCATCATGAAGTCACGTGCAAGCCATGTATGCGGAGCGCCAGTTCGTCTGCTTGTTGCGCAGGGGTTACGGTGACGTCAGAAGCCCGAGCTCTGATTGGTTCCGATTGAAAGGATAGTGGATAGACCTGAAGACAGCTTGCATTGAGGTCTAGCCGCTATCCTTCCATCGGAGCCAATCGGAGCTGGGCGTTCTGGCGTCCCTGCAGCCCCCGTGGAAAAAGCAGACGACCTTGCACTCTGCATTCGTTTGTGTACTTTGTGTAAACACTCATTTTTTTCGCCGGTAGCGTCTGAATGGAATCGGTTACCCGACTCCATTGTTCACTCCATGTCCGTAGATTCATTCGCAAATGAATCAGACCGCTATTACATGATTTGTGCCTACTAAAAATACAAGAAGCGAAACTATCTAGGCGAGCTTTTTTCTTTAATAGGCATGTTGTATATTATGTATCTGTGAAGTCTGATTGTGTACACCTTTAATGTGTCTAACTTGCTTTATTATACTGTTTGTTCTTAAACTGCACCACCAACTAACGTATGATCTCTAAAACTTGTAACCACCCTGCCAAAGTTCTAAAAGAAACTGGTAATATTACACAAGTATTTATTGATTTATTTAGCCCGAAGGGTGTTGGTGGTGGGGGTTATAAATCACTGTTTCGCGTCACGTGCTTCCGAGCTCAGCGACAGCAGCGCTTGACCGTCCTTGACCGTGCTCGCAGGGCCGCGCCAGCGGGGCGCGCTGGTCCCTGGAGCTGCGCAGCCGCGTCCAGCTGCAGCTGCTCCAGCTGGGGCGCTTCGTGGACCGCAACGCGGGCAAGGTGCTCTTCGTGGGTCTCCTGGTGGTCGCCTCCTTCTGCGTGGGGCTCAAGTCGGCACACCTCGAGCTGGACGTCAACAACCTATGGGTCCAGAGTGAGTCCATCCCTCTTCTCTGTTGCTTTCGCACCCTGGGCCGTCGTGCGCCCACAGATGTTCGAAGCTCCGGCGAACTGTCTTCCGGGTTTTGGTACATGGGCGATGTGTGCGATCAAAGGCGTCGCTGTGGTCGGCCTTCTACGATTGGCCAAGGGCTCACTATGACGTCTTCAGTTGGATTAATGTCGCTTTCGTCGACGGAGAAAACGTTAACTTTCACGGCGTTAGTCACTGCGCTTTTTACACACACACACACTCACACCGTCGAACTTGTCGTTTGCAGGAGCTGATAAGTATAGCGAGGACCACAACTCGTGACGTTATACGAACGACAAGGCAAATCCTGTTCCTGACGTCACGGAAAACTATCATAGGAGGGCTCCATCGAAGCGCCTCGGCGCTAATATCGTCGTGCCAGAAAATGGCGGGCCTTCATCGTCGCCGCGTAGAATAATGAAAGCATCAGAATTTTGACGCCATCAGAGCGAGATCGAGCGAAGACAGTGAGTCACCGTTCGGCTGGTCCTCGTGTCCAATCAGCGCGTCGAAGGAAGCTCGGCGTCGGACTCGGGCCCAATCGCCGAGTTGGCGCCTTCCGACTCCGAGGACGTTCCACGAGGAGGATGTTCGCGGGCCTCGATTATTCCAGGCGCGGTGTTGGCCCGGCTCACTCTACGTTGCGCGGTCAATTCGTAATTTACGTTGTCGGGATCTCGGATCCATTTGACGTAACATAGGGCGTTGCAGGTCCCCTTCAGCCGAACTAGAAGATGACAAGAGAGCCAGAGTTGTCGCGAGGGAAGCATAACGACACCTCAAAGACGAGAGACATCCGCGTTCAGGGCTGACTCTCAACACTGTACACACGTTGCTAAGGGAATTTTAGGTTGCCTGAAAATCCCCGATGATTTAATCCTCTGTTAGGTACGGGTACCTAAAATGCCATTTACGCTAAATGACATTCAGTGTGCACGAGTGCCATTTAGTCACGTCACACGGCAACTCAAGTGGCATTCGCGCTAAATAAATGGCTTTTAGAACGAACGCCCTTTGAGTTGCCGTGTGGCACTGACAAAATGGCATCTACACCGAATGCCATTTGGCGTAAATGGCATTCCCGGTGCCCGTCTGATAGAGGGCTTGGAGGACGGCAGTACAAAAAACAGGACGACACGTTTTTACATTGTCTGTCTTGACTGTGATAGACCCGAGACACCGTTACCGAGGGCAAAGGTTCCGCGTTTCAGAGTGCCAGCGGCTTACCAGTAATTGTATCATTCACTCGTCGTGAGTCTTTACGAGATGGATATTCTGAAAGTGTGGAGGTTTCGGCTGGTCCTGCTATAGAGAGGTTTGAGTTCCCTGGAACAGTTGGTCCTCCCGTGTGTCTCGACTCGACGGCATACGAGCACAAGTGTATACACACGCAGTTCATTAACCGTTTCCTACACACTTATGCTTAGGTAATCTGGACGGCTACAGCCCACGGAGGGGAGCTGTAGCTGTTGCACTAACAGCTACATTATTTCCAGTGATCTGAGATCACTTGAAACTTTCGCCGGTGCATTAAGAAACCTCCTTGGCCTTGCTTTCGTCGTGAATTCCTGATTAACCTCCACCAGCTTCTTTACTTTCTCCGCTTCCTCTCAATCAATCTTCGAACCGACTACGTTTTCAACGATGGATAGCTCCGGTTTCATCATCATCTATAAGGAAGTCTTGGTGCTGATGGCCACCGTCTGGCACAGGTTGAACACGAGTCAGCGTTCGTAACTCTTGTCCAATAAGTGAGAACCCGAATCCCAGCTGATCGCCGACGCAGCAGTCCCATCTGCCCCACGGTGACCTTCCTAAATGACGCAAGAAAATTCAGCAGCTTTCTTGTCTAGGGGACGCTGGTTTCGTGCGTGTGCGCGGCCCAAGTCCCCGCGGGGCTGGCAACACAGGCGATCACGTGCTCTCGTTTTAATCTCGCGTGCCTCGGTATATGATGAGCCCCCCTGAGAATCATAGCGTGTCTGCGCAATCGGCCGGGAAGAGCGCCGACCGCCGAGGGATCATCATCGTCGTCCTGGTTGCACGACTTTCCCCTGCTTTGGCCGGCGGCCTAAACACAGGCTTGCGGTCCTCTCGAGGCTTCGTGTCGCTCGCTCCGTCTGTCTCTCTTCGTACGGAATGTCCGCTCCAGGGCCGGGAGGCGATTCATTTTCGTCGGTGGCGGTGGTGCGTATGGGGCCCCCCTTTTTCTCGATACGATATTTTGGGGCAGTTTGGTGGGGCCTGCTGGCAGCCCCGAGGTTTTACTTTATATATTTTATTTCGCGGTGGGGAGGTCAGTTTTTGCATCTCCGACGTCTCGGATTCGCTCTCTTTGTGGTCGTTCCGCTCAGCTGGCGTATCTAATGGTCGCTTTTAGACGTTTCGTCGCGTCCATTTTTTTCTTTCCTTCGGCAAAATGTTGAGCGGTAGGAACGATACCTCTTCTCCCCCCCCCCCCCCCTTTTTTTTTCGCCAGTGCTTTACCTTTTAATATTTTTAGCGTTTTTTTTTTTTTTTTTTAAAAACTGCTGGCTAACAATAGGTTTTATGGAGACTTCATCGTTCAATCTAGGGAAATAAAGAGTGAATAAAGAAAAAGAGGCTACGACATTTCGAAGTTGCTGTTTTTCTTAGTATAAATAGGCCGTGGGTTCTCAAATGGGGTTCTTGGAAGCCCGGGGTTCCCCGAGCTCTCCAATCTTCTCGATCCTTCCCTACTCCCTAAGTAAGGTTAGCAGATCTGAGCCACTTAGTGACTCGTAATTACAAGCTAAACAATTTACAGTATCCCAATTATTATTTGCGAGGTTTGTAGTCTCTTGCATCCAGGCAGGGAGCCAGGATTTTGTTTCGGAGGAAGGGGGGAAGGGGGGGGGGGGGGGGGGGGGGGGCCGCCGCCGCCGCCCATGACAAAATGCTGTATGAGGGGGGAGAGGAGGTCCCAGCAAAATGAAGATGTCGGGGGCGGGCATCATGGGCCGCCCCCCTGGCTACGTGAGTGCCTGTACCGCTTTATTGCACCAGTGCCGAGACCAAGAGGGTTTCCTCCGCTGCCATTCGAGGCAGATGTGTGTTTCCTATTATTTTTCTGATTTGCTGCTGTTGTTGTTAGGGGAGAAAGGGGCTTTGTCAAGGTAACTACTAAGTTGTTTTTGTCTCCCCTTCCCCTCTTTTGGAAAAAAATAAAGCATTTGAATTTGACATAGCGCGGTTCCTTGAGGTGAAATGGATTGCTCTTCGATCTCCAATGCTCGTTTAGCATTAAACTTTAGCATAAACGAGCCTGGTCAAACACATCTCGTGCCTCTACAGCTGGAAACGAAAATAAGCCTGCTAGTAGTTACCATCCCGAAGCGGGCATGATAGCAAACGACGCAACCAAAACAATCTCGAAAAGCACCTGCAGGTCGGACGACACCTCCGCGACTTGTACTGTGCTAGCTACCAAGGAAGATGTCAGGGCGCAAAAGGCGATTGTCGAGCAGATACGGTTACTCTAGGACTGACTGAAGGCTGGTTCATACAATGGTGTGGTTGCGTTTCGCAGGCTCCGAAACGACAGCAACGCCAAAGTCACCGGGACAAGTGTTCGCCGTACACAACGCGGCAACAAGCGATCCAAAAGTTAGCTTTGCACAGCAAGCATGAGTCAGGCTTGTTTCGGTGTTCTGGTCGTGTCTGTCGTTTTGGTTGTTGCGAACGCAACCGTCGCACAACACCATTTTATCCGTCATCACTCCCCGGGTGCTCGGAGTTTCACTGGACAAGCCGAGTCACGCGCGCGGTTAGCGCATCGACGTCACAGAGTAACAACTCCTCCAGGTGGCGAACTGGAACAGGCCAGAAACCATCCGTCCGCGTCCCCACGCCACGGAGTACTCCGGTAATTTGGGGGCAGCGGCAGCACCCAAAAGGGGGGGCCGCTTTTCTTTCGGACCTGCCGATTCACCTGGTCGCCTCCTCCTCTTCTACCCTCCCGCCAACGATTACGCCCTCCCCCTCTCGTCCCTCTCTGCCAGAAGTGCCAGAGAACTGGCCAGAGGGAGAGGAGGTCGTCTTTGAGGTCTCACTCGAAGCATTCCCTCCCCCCCTCTGCGAGGCGTGTGGCCGTGCGCTCTGGCACGAGGAAGCAGGAAGACAGGCTACCTGCCGAGGAGGGAGAGGAGGCGGTTGGCTTTGACGTCTCACTCCGGTGCCGCGGCGGATGCCTCGGGCGGCAGGGGAGCACTGACGATGGCTTCATTGGGACCGAGGCACGCACACCTGTTGGTGGCTTGCGCGAGAAATGAGAAAGCCCCACGCCGCCGGCCGTGAGCGCGTCGGCCGCTCCGTGGGATGGAGTGCGGGGACGCCTAGTTGTTGTTCGCCTTCCCGCGGGGGATCGCGGTGCTCGCTGTTTGGTGTGCGCGGCGGTAGGTGACATACAAGATCCAGCACTAGGGCTTTCTTATCCAGGAGACACGGGCTGGCCGATTGTGCGGAACTCAAACGTGGGAAAACTCGAAAACGTTTTGAGTAGATTTCTACCATGTTCATGGAGAGGATTCAGCATAACTATTTCTCCGACTCTCGTTTTCACTGCGCTTTGAAACATGTTCCTTGCACCAAATCCTTTGCACTCCGAAAGCTCGAGGTTTATTTTTTACGTGCATCGCACGGGCTGTCGATTGTTTTGGTACGTGTTTGGTTCTTGGGACGGAATGGTTATCAGACGCGTCGAAACGTTGTCTGCCTGCGTATGCACGTTGCTGCGACGTTTCTGTCGAGACTAGCAGGGGTGGAAATTCTGCGCAGACGCTACGTCAGAGGTAAAAGAAAGAAGAAAAAAAAGTGTTGCGTATTTGTTGTCGTCTTTCGTGAAATAGACAATCAAAAAAGTTTACCACCATCACCTCTTTTTTTTTTTTTTTTCAAATTCCGAGTCGAGAGGCCTAATGAATCAAGAGATCCATTATTCTTGACCCACATTGCACCTTTTGGCTCGTCTTAATGAGTCAAGAGGTCCAACGACTCAGGATAGCCAATATTGCACGGTTACCTCAGTTGTAATGCAAAAACCGCGATTGAGCACTCAGAACACTATTCCAGTAGAAGTTTTTTTTATGTCTCAAAAAGAAAAAACATTCGCAGGAATAAATTTCTTACTCATCGCCCTTTTCTCAGGTAAACCTAGTCCGTTGTGAAGTTAACTTTTAACCAGCCATAGATATTTTGACTTGTTGGGCCTCTCAACTGGTTGGGTCTTTTGACTTCTTGATCCTCTTGACCCATATGCATCTTTTGACATATTGAATCTTTCAAATCGATGGTCCTCTTTTGCCCATATTGGATCTGTTGACTCGATGCATATCTTGATTCATTGGATCTCTTGACTAGAAACTGGCATGAGTCACGAGGTCCAACGGCTCGAGATATTCAATGAGTCAAAAGGTCCAATATCGGATCTCTTGACTCGTTGGATCTGTCGCCTCCGGTTGGTGAAAGGGGCACAATATGTGTATGGGCGCACGCCTTTTCCTCCTCACCTGCACACCGAACGGCACCACAAACTTTTAAGTGCAATAAAGTACTATCACTATCACTATCTCGTGATTATTGTATTTTTTAACCCCCCCAATTTGGGTCTCTTCACTCCTTGGATCTCTAGGCCCGGCTGTGACGTGATTGTTGGATATATCTTGGCCCATATTGGATTTCTTAACTGGTTGGATCGCTTGACGCGTTAAATCTCTTTACTCGCTGAATTTCTTGAGTCATTTGCTCCCTCGAATCATTGGACCTCTTGATCTACATTGTATCTCTTGTCTCGTTGGGTCTCTTGGCTCATGTTAGATCTGTTAGCTCATTGGATCTCTTCAGCTATATTGTACCCCTTGACCCATGTCGGATCTTTCGATGCGTTAGATGTCTCCCCCCATGTTGGGTCTCTGGACTCTGCTGTCACGTGACCGTGTGATCTCTTGACGGGAACCGCCGTTTTTCTTTGTGCAGGGGGCGGCCGGCTGGAGCGCGAGCAGGCGTACGTGCGAGCCACCCTGGGCGACGGTGTGGGCACGAGCAGCCAGCTGGTCATCCAGACGTCCCCCGGCGGCCGGGACCTGCTTCGGCAACCGCAGCCCCTGCTCGCCCACCTGGACGCGCTCAGAAGGGCCACCGCCGTCACGGTGGACATGTTCGACGTGTACGTATACGTCCTGTTTACAAACAAACCCGCGTCTGCCGAGACAACACGCGTGACCCCAAAGGTCATCCTGGTGATATCCCATACTGCCTAGTGATAGTTAGGGGGAGAAAATTGGCTTAGAAGGGCGGGGAAAATCATATGTTTGTCTTTTTAGACTTAGGCTAGGTGACGCAAGCTACCGCCTGTTACAAAGGTTATAGCCATGAACATAACCACCCATGGTCCCTCGATTGCCGCCTGATGACGTCGTAGTAGTGTCGCACCCGACGCGTCTTTGGCGGTGGCACAGTGGAGGAGGTGCGTGCGGCCATGGCTTCCGAGATTCGGCATCTCGGAGGCCATGGTGCGGCAGACGCCTGTTGTGCTGTGGCATGTGCTCTCGGCTGGACAAGTTCACGGAAGCTCCTGCAGCCAGGCGCTGAGACGACGGCGACACTCGCGTTCGCTCGAACTTTTTTGCCGGAATTCGTACGACCGGCCGTCAGTATGGCGGCGTCCGCCGATGGCGTGACACGGCGGCTCGTCTTTGTTGAGGTGGCGAACTACTTTCGATATATGAGCGTGATAAGACGGCGAACACACCGGTAGGAGACGCGCTCCAGGTGGCGTTGTTCCCCGGTTCCGCGACGACGCGGCCCTGCATGTCGAGGGCGGCCCGGACCGTCAGATCACGACGAGCGATTCGGTTGGAGGAACGCGGGAACCACCGAGGGACCCGCAGTGACATCACTTCGAACGTGATTTCATTGCCGTAACGTAAAAAGAAAAAAAGAAACAAAAAAAAAAACAGATTAAGGGTCTTTATTTGGCGCGCTTATAAGTGCTTTTGTAAAGGCATTCCTAAAGTGGAGAGCTTGCTGGTAACGGTAATTACAGATAGCGTCTTCCCTTATTTTTAATTGTATTATTATTATTATTATTACTATTATTATGACTATTATTATTTATGAGTCATTACCATCATTATGCAACGGTTTAGGGCTGTGGTTATGAGCGGTGCTTTGCCGAAATATTGTGGCGTCATTGCTTTGTACTTTTTTCATTCTGACATGGCGTTTTGTGGGCACTGTTTACAACGGGGTATGACACCGTCCGCTGAAAGAAACAGGATCACCGAACAATCGTACATCGAACAAGTTCCAAACATCTTCAGGTGCGGTCTCCACGTTGGGCGTCATTTTGGGGATTATGGGAATCTGACGGTCGTAAAGTGGGCAGCGTTTTAAAAGGGGAGATCCGGCGAAATTTTGACACTCACTGATTTGCCTCGAAATCGCTTACCAAATTACAAGTCGCAATATATATATTCGAAGTTTTTGAAATTGTAAATTTGGTCCGAGACGTTGAGAGGCTCTACTGGCAACACTGAAAGCCTGTGTAAAGCCTGGGTATTCCCAAAATGCGTTTAGCTTTGGTACCTAAAAAGAAAAAAAAAAAAAAAAAATGTCGGTGGAGCTCGTTTTTAAGCAGCGCCCACCGCCTCCCTTTCTGCATTTCTTACGTTTCGAAATTGGTTCGATTACTCAAGTTTTACTTGGACCCACCTCCGCAATGCAATACTTAGGAACGGCCGCGTTCTGGGGGAGAGGTGTGGCAAAACACGTGGCGTAGAGTTCCGAAGAGTTTATCGTTTCCCTGAAATGCGCGTCCTTGCGTTGCAGGACGTGGCGACTCAAGGACGTTTGCTACGCCCCAAACTTCCCCGTGTTCGACGAGCACTACATCGATGCGGTGAGTACCGACCTTCCTCTTCTGAGATTCGTCTCGCGACAATAGACCCTCGTCGAAAGACCACGAAGTGGCATTGGTGGTCGCCATTTTTTTGGGCGCGAAGCGCGTGATTGGACCCGAGTCCGAGCCGAAGTTGACGCAACGCTCGTTTTCGACACGAGCCGAACCGAGTTCACGCCGAACGTTCACGAACGCCGAACACGAGTTTTGCTTTTTTACGGCACTTTTGACATCGGTGTTGCTCTCGGATATCCGTTACCGTGCATTTCTGACGTTCTTGCACTACGACATGTGTGAAGGTTTTCTTTGGAAAAACAACGGAGTCTTGCAAAAAGCGCAGCCGCACCCTAGGGCCTACCTTAAGCATCCTTCAAGATAAAAAAAAAAAAAAAAGAAACTCGTGTTGTAGGCAGAAGTATAAGTTCCTTCAATGTGGATGCATCTCTGTACATTGAGGCAGGGCAGCTGAAAGTTCTTCCTGTTCTGTTATGTCGGTGATTGGGACGGTCTGGCGTTTTATGGGCGTGACGATAAGCCGCAGAAACAGCACTTGAAGCCGCGTGGACAGGGAAAGAAGTTGGCAGACAGCTCAGTTTTGGGAAACTTGCTCGCTCATTATACATCTAGCCTCGGACGTATGTGCCAGTGCGTGTCTTTCGCGCTGGGGAAAGTGAGCGCGAATTCTCGACGAAAGAACGAGGATTCAGGAGGGGCACGTCAATCATCGGCCAACATCGAGAACGTGCGACGTGCCCGCGTTGACGACGTGTACCCAGCCGAGCACCCCCGTTAATTGGATCTGGTGAAAAAACAAATGCACGTCAGTGCACGTAAGGAGTAAGCAGGAGCACAAGGTGCGCGATACAGTCATTATACTCCGCCTCGTCTTAAGTTGGAAAACAGCAAAGGCTAGGACTCCAGCGAGCCAATCAGCGCTTCGGAGGAAGGCACGTGACCGTACTCTATACATCTCCTAAGCGCTGTCAAAGCCACGGGCGGAAGAGAGGGGAAAGCCACTTCTGGGGATGCGAATTTTGAATGAAGGGCTAATCTTCTAGAAGGTAAGGGGGGAACTCTTTTTTCCCCTCTCCTCCAGCTGCTTGGGTTAGTATGCTCTCGTCCCCGTACCTTTGGTGAAGGCTGTCACCTGCATCGTCTTCGTCGCTCTGATTGGCTGGAAGGGTCCTTAGCGTTCGCTCTTTGCCGAAGTTATGATGGAAGCAAGTATAGGAATGACTTGTAATCAATGGACCACTCCCTGGAAGTATAATACAGCGACCTCGATAGGTCAGACCCTTTTAAAAGTATGTGTCACCCCTAGAAAGTTACGCTCTAAAATTTCGTCGTTTTTTGTTGTTTTTTTTTTTTTTTTTTTACTGCTGATTGCTGTTTTGCACAGCAATAATGTTTGCACGTCTACTAACCGCCTTCTTCGAGCTGCCACTGGGGCTGTAGAATGCGTTCTCGGCATTCCCGCTAGCTCTCTTACGCTGAATATCAGATGCTGCGCATGTATTCAGAGCCCAGTGACTCGGCATCTTTCGTCAGGTTGACTAGGGCTGAAAGGTGCATTCGGGAACTGTACACCATGGCAGCGATGGGATTGCTGCGCCATTGGCGCCAACGTGCTTACCCCCGCTACATCAATTTCATGATAATGTGAGGAATGTGCGCCAACATTGTGCGAAATCTTAATTTCGTTTTATTAATACCGAAGGTGTAATAGCGCAGGCCCGGCTTTACGACCGGATTTTTACGGTAGGCTTGTGTGAATTTCCAAAAGTTCCGTGGTCAGTTCTGGCCGGTTAGTAAGTTTCGTTGAGTGCGCTTCTCATCTTGCACAGGTATACTGCGGTGAAGCGACAGCTGTGGAGTAGGCGTCGCAATTTTGCAAAATAGCAAAAGAAAAGCTTTAATTGTCAGGTCTTTTTTTTTTTTAGCTTTAATTCTTACAGGTATGGAATACCAACTAGCCCGTACTCTTGTACTGTACACTACTTGGCCACGATGATGGAGGATTATGGGCGGCGGTTGTCTTACTGTCGGTGCCTCTTGGTGGTCCATGTACCTATAGATGCTGGAGAAGCTGCTACCGTGTGTGATCACCACTCCGCTGGACTGCTTCTGGGAGGGCTCCAAGATCATGGGCCCCGAGTTCCCGGTCACCATCATGTGAGTCGCCCACTCTATCCACCCGCCTCTTTTCGCGAGTGACTCTTTCACCCGCCACCGAGAAAGCCTTCTAAATTTTACTAGACCCGTTTTCACCTTAAGAACCGTAGTAAAAAAAAGTCCGGCCCCTCGCGGAGCATTACTAATTTCCCCTTTATGATGAGAATTAAGATTTATGTAGGTGTATTTTAGATTAGAAATATGTTGTCTTGTCAAGACGTACGCGTTTCAACCACCAAAAGCAACGTTTTTTCCTCCGACAACCAAATATCGTAAAAACTACTTCGCGCCGCGTATGAACAATGTGCAAAACTTTTTTTCTTGGGGTGCGTCGCTGTCCCTGCGTTACCACGCGACTCGCGTCACGTGGTAACGCAGGGAGAGCGACGCCGGACCCGAGTAGCTCTTTGAACGTCAAGGTATGAAACCTTCACGCTGGGGCACAATGTAAAATAAATATATATGTGTGGACACTGCGCGTCAACGTTGCCAGATAAAGTCCTCTCCTCACTTTGGTTGCAGGTGTCGCCGCCAGGTGGCCCTTCGATAAGCGGCTAGTGGTGACTTGTCGCGGGCCCGGTTTCCCGTGCTTCTCTGTGGGAGAAACGCTCGTTTTTGAAATTGCATTCTGGGTGCGCCGCGTCATGATAGAACATGGTATACTTGCGCTACCCGTGTTGCTTAGACACTGCTTCGTCATTAACCCTTGCTTGGTGCCTCAACGGCGGCAATTACTGTTTTATGAACGCGTTGGAGTGGGGAGAGCTCTGGCGCGGCGTTCGAGCCAGCGTCTGTCAAGGTCAGAGCAGACGCTCCGAGCGGAAAGAGCGCATGCTCGGTTGCCATGGGAACGAAACACTTTTGTTTTGTTTGTTCCTTCTTTTTTTTCTCTCAGTTGCGCCGTCTGGAAGGCAGAGACGCTGTCGGTTGAGGCTCCTTGGACCTCCGCTCCATTAGGACTTTATCTTGTCGATCGCGTCGCGGAGTTGCCCGTTCTTTGTGCCCTCAGCTATACATCTTACATCGGGCTCTGGAATGAAATCGAGTGAATTCCTGGAAAACAGCTCGAAAGGAAACCGACCTCCTACGGGTCATTCGAGGGCTACAATACGAACCGACCCATTGTTTGCAAACAAGCCTGTGAGTCCACGGAAACGGTGGGCACTGCGCACCCACAAAACCCCGTTTTCTTTTTTTTTTTTTTTCTTTTTTAACTGCAATTTTTGGTGTGTTGGTTGAATATGTGATGGATACTTGGCTCCCTTTAGATCGGGCGAAACGCTCTTGCATCATATTTGATCGAGTTTACAATGAGGGCAGATAGAGCGACAGGTGTAGAAAAGCGAGCTCGTTTCCTCTCCAATTCAATGAGAAATCAATTCGTTTGACAGCCAGCCTCACTGGTTTGTTGTTAGAAACAAGGGAGACTGCCTATCCATCCTTGGCTGTTAGTATGAAGAAGACCGGGCCCGTTTATTTTTGTTTTTTCTCAGTTATTTCTTCTTCAGAAGAACGTTGCCTTCCTTTCGACCAAGCGGCCGAGTTGACTTCAAAGTTTCTGCTCCCCCCGTGCATGCCCTTGGGCGCCGCATTAGACGATGCAAGGTGCGCGCTGGCCGCATAGTTGGGGCGATGGACTCCGTCGGGGACGATGCGTTCATTCAGAAATTTGCTCCCCTCACCCTAATCGGAGGCAGCCGTTGTGATGCCCTCGGCCTTTTCGCAAATTACTTCTTCAACAAAGAGAGAAAGAGTGAAAGGCCTGTAATTTTTGTAAGTGCAAATTTGAGGAACCGCTTCAGGATAGATGCCCTCGTGATATGGGTCGTCTCGTTCTGTTTCACCTGGTTTCGTTACGGGGGGCTACAGTTCAAACTTGGTTTTAACCCGATTAATCGCTCCCTTTTCATCATTAATTAATCGGTTGTGTTAACCTCCAGGCATTCCCTTAGCGAAAACTAATACGTTTGAAATATATCACATTCTAATTTGAGTGTATTTGAAACACAGTTCATAATTGTAAGTACACGAAAAATAGACCGAAAATATAAACTTATTTTTTTTTACTTAGTACTAAAATATACTTCTACAAATCATTTTAAAATACCTTTACTTAAACTACATTTGAAGTTCCCTTCATGCGTTTTGAAATATGTAAATACTAAATTAATAGGCACAAAATACCTTTCACATATATTTCTTGAAATATTTATTTAATTCATGCAAAATATACTCCAACCCTAAAAAAATGGAGCAATCAAAAATACGTGCAGAATACTCTTAAAATACCTCAAAATCGTAAATACTGTTGTGTTACAATCTAAGTACCTTTTGACTGCAATACTTTGGTAGTTTGATTAAACTACCATAATATTGAAAAGCTCCCCTTCTAGAAGTTCACTTCAAGCAGATATGGAGAACACTGAAGCGCCTAAATACAACATTTTATTAGTTTGTCAACTGAATTGCGCAGCATCGCACTGATAAATCAGCCCAGTTTATGTTATTGTTTCTTTTTTTCTATCAAGAACACACCTGATCAGTTCCTTGCACACCAATCACAAACGGGGTTCGGGAACTACAACCACAACATTTGCTGATGCTGGAAAGCTTCAGCAGGTGCTGTGAACAGATACGTTTGGCGTGGTTTTGTTAGCACAATGTTAGTTCACTGAACGTGTATACTCACCATTGTACGTGATGTGAACAGTGACTTTAATATAGTGACATTAACTACCATATTAAATAGTCAACTACTAAAAAGGAAAGGCAAAAAAACTACTGTAAAATATTTATTTTTCGCGGGCTCAATATTTCGCGATTTAGGTCAAAGTTGTAGTTTTGGAATAATTAGCAAATTCTAATTTTCGCGACGCGCTGGGATCGCAATATAGATTTTAATGTTTTCACATTTTGCCGGAATTTGTTCACGGGACCTATTTTTCGGGATTGTAGGCGATTCGCGAACTTTGCGAGAATTAGGTCCTCACGAAAATAAAATCGTTTACAGTATTTTAAAGTGAAGAAACTGCCTTGATTCGCTTCGTCCTGAGTGGTGCTACGCAGAGAAGCAATAGCATGTATTTTATGAGCCGTTTGTGTGGATATTGTTTTAGGGACTGCGCCGAATTGTTATTAGTTGTACCAAGGCCTTTTAGTAAGAGATGTCGCCCACGCACTTCAAAACACTGTTTCCCCTTTGACAGACTCCCGAGGAGAAGGTCGAATACTTGGAACCTTAATAAGCGCAGAGGTGGTCACCGAAAAAATGATTACCTTCAATATGTGGGCTATATAAGGCTCGAGAGCAGTCAATGGGACTGTGAATGAGCTGTTCAGTGCGTCATGGTGTTTGTGTTTATGTTCGTTTCTGATGTAGCTTGGGATAGGGACACCAATTGCTGACAAAATCGAAAATAAAAAAAAAATTGTGTAGCCGGTTTTGAATGCACAAATGGCATCTTCAGTGTGAACGAATAATATTTTTGGTATATCTAAAATATTTTTTGATTCCTATTTATAATGTATTTTGAATACCTTACGCGCGTATTTCGAATGCGGCCAAAATAATAGAGAATAAATACAAAATGAATATTCGTACTAAATATATTTCAACTTCGTTTGAAGTACGGCCTCTTTTTGCTAAGGGTTATGCTAATAACATGTCAAAAGTACAAATCTGTATTGTAAATATATATATTTTTAATATGTCATTGAAGGCGGTGTACAGGCTCAGCTGTACACCGAAAAGAATAGGGCCAATTTTTTTTTAGAGCGCAGCTCTTAGGCGCCCGCTTCCGGCTTGAGCGGCGTCGCCGTCGCCGTCGGCGTAACCAAGGTCCCCCCAAGGTCAAGTGACCCCCAGGACACGTGACCCCCAAGGTCACGTGATCCCTCCCAAGGTCACGTGACCCCCCGAGATCACGTGGCCCCCTCCCCGAGGTCAGGTGACCCCCCTCCCCCACCCCGAGGTCACGTGACCCCCTCCCCCCCGAGGTCAAGTGACCCCCCGGAGCATATTAAAGAATGAGGGGAGGAGGAGGAGGAGGGGTCTACCCTCCCCTCAGTACCCTTCCCTCCTCCTCCTCAAGAACTGCGCTCCAATTCGGCGTTACAGGGAGTTGTAAACGGCTTTCACTTTTTCTCCTATTTTCTTTTTTTTAGTTTTATATTTACAGTGGATGATAGCCAAGTAGAACGCTATAGTACTTTAGGCGAAAGTGTGCTTTCAAAAATGAAAAGCGCCATCCACTAAAGCAGGCTTCTTCTTTCTTTTTCCGCGAATTTTTCCAACTCCGAACCCTACCTATTAAACAAATTGATCGCGATTCAATCATTAAAGGTTGAATCGGAAAGTTAATTCATCAATTGCTCAGCCCTAGTTGTAATGCCTAATTGCGCTCTGACGTAAGCTAACTCAGTCTTTGCGACGGTCTGAAACGTGGCAAGGGACAAAGGTAACGGAGGTGGCCACCTGCCTCGGAGTGCCTTCGTGCAAAGGTGCCTTCCGCTTGAGTGATGCCATCTCAGCCATTCTTCCGCCCAATCATTTTTCTTTTTTGTCTTATGAAGTGCGCGCAAACCAGTGTGACTCGATTAGCTGGAGCGCGTAGCCTTCGCTAATAAATGCAAAGGTGCAAGCGAGCTGGACAAGAATGATGATGATAAAGCCTGGAGAAGGGAACAAGGGGGACTTAAAGGACAAACACTCGGTGCACCAAAAGGTGTCCTCACTCTGAGACAGACAGATGTGCAGGCAGCCTAGCCCCAACTACCTGTGCGTGCTGATGACAGCAGAGGCGATCCGTCGCCTCTGTCTGCACGTGTCCACCGTGTCATCGCACCGAAGAAGAGACGACGCGAGGCGACGCTTTGAAAAGACGCGCAGCGATGCGTGCCGAGGCGGATATTGAACGTGAGCGTCGGCTGCATCGGCTCCGTTTCTCGTACAATGAATGGCATTCCGCCTGTGACGGTTCGATTAATAGGCGTAAACACAGGGGA